TTCTTAATTGTCCACTAAACGCAAGAAAGGCGGCGGTGCAGATGTTCCCGCAATGCAGCTGGTCATTCATGCTTTAATCAGAAGAATAATTTTGAACAAACAAACAAACAAACAAAAACGAACAAAAGGAGGTGACAACGTATCATTATCCTTAAAGTAATTATTTCTAAGCTTTCACTTACCACCTGATGTATTTACATGTATTTGATCCACCGAAGGCGATATCGAGAGCAAAGAAAACGATAGGGATAAGCAGAATTCAAGTATTATAAAACATTGTTTAGTTCAACTAACAGTTATAGTTAGAGTAGGCAATACTAACACACTTCCCATCAATCATCATATGGGACTGAGAGCTGGCCACGGTTATTCTTCATCAACTGTTTTCGAGATATGTCATTTATTTTGCTATTACAACGACTGCTATTAGAACATCAAATTCTCATCCTCATCCTCTCATTCTGTGTTCTGCCACTCATGCACGTTTGCGGCATTTAGGAATGTTATGGAAGGTGGAGCAGAAACAGATGTTATAACTAAATTATTAACTTCAGTAATCTAATCAAACATCACTTACACACTGGTGTATTTCACAAAGGCCGCACATGAGTAGAGAAAGCACAGAATGACAATTAAGTTAGGGAGATTAGATGAAAAATAAGTAAACCAATAAATGAATTATGCATCGATTGATTCCAAGCCTCAACATCGCCCACGAGGAACCCCCAAGCGTTTAAACTTTTGAAAATTGATCCGTTCAAATTTCAGCCCCCGGGGCCAAAATTGTGTTTCAATACCCTACCCAAGTGCTGGACTTGATGGTCAATTTTTTTCTAAAAGGCAAAACGAGCGATCCTGACATTCCATACATTTGCCAAGCCTTATAAGCTAGACCTTGTGGACCTTTTCTCCGGAGCCATTCGTACCCAAAAGTGAACCCTTTATCTTAAAACACCTCCACATTATAAGTTAAAACACTTGTATTCAACACTTCCGGTTCAAATTCCCACCCCAGCCAGGCGGGGCTCACATTCCCCAACCCTAGCCACGAACGCCAGTTCCCCCACGGGGAATGTTAAAGCTTTTTAAATTGATTGGCCCATTAATCAATAACTGAAAGAAAAGCGAAGACATTTAGTTTTGAAACGTGTTTAATGAATGTGGTGTAACTGAAAAAAAAAAAAAAAAAAAAAAAAGTATACTGTTTTTAAACGATTTTGATTTTCTTTCGGTGGAACAGAAGTATGGAGAAGTCTTTCTTCAAGACCTTAACAGAAAACAAGTTTGGTTAAGTCTAAGATAGTGACGCTTTGATATCTCCTTTGCAGAGAATAAGAAGGAAAAAAAATCCTTAACATTGAATGGACTCAAATCCACGCTAACTTGCATTCAAAGTTAAATATGACGTCACAAGATAAAGCTATTTTTTTAATTTTAACAATCATCTGTTGTTCAAAACAATGCAAAAGCAAAATTAAGTGAGTCCTGAAGGGAGGCTAAAGTAAATTATTCATTAAGGTTTAGGATTCAGTGTGTGACCTTGAAACATGGGTTATTTTCCAAGCCGAAACTCGATTTCTGAATGAAGTACAACGCCTCCTGATCTTTTCTTTTGTCGTTATTAGTTTTCAGCTGGTAGAAAGGGTACAGAATGGGAGTGGTTAGCAGCTTTTTTGGTCATGTGACATGTTAGGAGTAACATCTACATTAAGAAATTGAAGTAGCACTTACCTCCTGATGTTTCCGAAGTGCAGTCCATGAAAAAACATAGAGAAAGGAAAGAAAAGAAAATCACCGGCTATCACATCCCCGTGTTAACAAAGCATAGAAAAGTGGGAAGAGTAATGAGATATATACAAAACAAGGGGTCTCGCCATGGAAACGTGATAAACGTCAAACTATCCTCATTTCAAACTTAATGGGAAACATAAAAACACATTGAATCATTTTAGTAAACGTTTTGTATACTAGTGACTGTCAACAGTAAGTTTCGATAAAAAAAAAAAAAATTTCTAAAAAATTCCACGCCCACAAGCATGAATGCTTCAAACAGGTAGCTGCTACGCTTCTCTTTGACAAAAGTGTGATTACCATTGCACCGAAATAATTACAGAAAAGTAAAGATGACATAGAATAAGTAAGTGATTAAATAACTGAACATATTGTTTTGCACTTAAAAGTTAAGAAATTAATAAAATATCCAAAAGATTACTTACGTTGAGCTAATATTTCCATGAAAATGTTTCGTACATTGAGAGAAAAGAAAACAATCTCAAATTATGTAGTAACCAGGATTTGTTTATTGCATTTGCAGTTGAAAGAAAAAAAATAGCAACAGTAAACAAATAAGTAATGGAAACTGAAGAAAAACATTCTACATTGTCAGTAGTATAACAACAATAAGAACAAGCCTAATTTTGCTTACTCGGTCCATATTATAGCTACAGTTATTAATTATTCGATTCATTGAAAAAGGAAAAGATAGAGATAGAGAGAGAAGGCGGAGAGACAGCTCCCAATATTTGTTTGTATCTCGACCTGATTACTACAGCACAACTTGAATAGTTAGCCATCAGCCCATAGCAAAGGTGACTGCAGTATTTGGACAACGGTGACAGTGATAACAAACTTACGACACTGCTGTTCATCTGAACCATCACCACAGTCATCTCCGTGACGGCAACGTTTCCATTTACTAAGACACTTTCCATTAGCACAAGTGAACTCGTAGTTTGCACATTTTCCTGTATGATAATACAAATAACTTCAATTCAAAGACAAAATATTGAGCCTGTGTATTAAAGAAAAGGAAAAGAACAAACAAAACCTGAATAATCCGAACAATTTAGACATACTTCTTAGCTCTGAAGTCAAAAGCTGTAGGACAGTTATTTTCATCTCCGAGGTTATGCCTTTGCCTCAAAACTCTCCTCTGCTAAATATGTTTGAACCGATAAGCAGACAAACAAGCAATTCGCAAGCTCTTGCTAACAAAGATTCCCTCTCTAAATTTTAATTCCTGTCGTCTACAGAAAGGAGAAAGTTGCCACTGACATTTGGTCTCTCCGTGTCATTTTTTTTTTCTTTTGACTTTTAGATTGATTTTGAAAAAAGGAAGAGACGAGGACTCGGCATTAAACCGTTTTTGATATCATGAATATCCGTGAATTTTGTTGTCTTGACAGAAAGGCTTTGTAAATATATATGGAAAAAAGATAAACTGAATTCAGTGAACATGTTTGATCAGTTTCTTTCCTCCATATCTCATACAGCCTCACTATCAAGCAGAAGGTGACCAGCTAACTTTGGTTTTTGTTCCGTTTTTGTTGTTTCAATCCACCTCTTAAAATCATTTTTTAATATTTCAAAGATCCTCAACCTTAGTTTTCTATTGATAGTTACATGTAAATCAAATAAATACAAGCTACGTGTTCAAAATATGCCATTCCTTTAATGCGGTTATCCAAGCAATATTATAAGGAGACGACATAAAGATAGATTTAGATTTATGATACTTACTGCCAGCTGATTGGCGCAGGTAAAACATGAAAGAGAAGGAAAAGTTACTCAATTGGTCTATTAGCATCATTACAATACTGTTAAGCTCTTTGAAATTTTGGTTATGGCGCACTGGCGACAAAAGTTTACGTGTAGATGAAAAATTTATCCGTAAGCTCTACATGAGCAATTTAATATCCCCTGGCGACCGTTCGCGTTTTCGCGTTTTCGCGTTTTCGCGGTCAATTCATACAGTCAATTAAGGCAATGCCGATGGGTGCATGACTATATTTCTAGAAAAGCTCTTTTCAAATTAATATGCTAATGCTTGGGGAACTCAATATACTCGAGAGATCTGGAAGCGTTCATTCACTGCATGCATGTGTAATAATAGTTGCTTTAAAAATTTATCATTTATCATGCAGAGCATTTTACTTTGCAAAGTACAAATCATCATTTCTGGTCTCCCAATTAATGCATTTGATTTTGTCCAACGGTAAGATACAAAAGGAGTTCATCTCGTATATGAAATCACCGCTATCTCATTCAACTAGTTGCAGTTTATTTCATTCGATTTTAAAGTGACTTTGGTCATCACAAGAACCGTCTTCATGCCATTTAAGTTCTTGATCTAAAGATGGCCCAATGTGACGGCATTCAACCAATAGCCATTTCAGTTTTATAAAACTACTTCTGCATATGATTTACGTCACAGCTTTATTTCGCTGTGTTGGAGGTGTTCTTGCAAATGAGGCGTTATTGGAAAATATAGCTTTTTTCTATATTTTTGAAAAGAAAGTTAGGCTTCCAATTTAAAATTACTTTTTGAGAATAGCATTTTTACGCTAAGCCCATATAAAGAATAAGAAGATGTACAGAAGTATAAGTTACCTATCAACATCAGTACTTACTGCATTGTTCGTCTGATCCATCACTACAGTGAGCGAACCCATCGCAGCGTTGAGACGCGTAGATACACTTTTCTTGATTTGCACAAGCAATCTGATTGCCTCGACAAGTTACTAGCAGATGATTAAAAGAAAAGCATGAACCGTGACAAAACGTTGGCACTTCTTGTACATTTTTTAACCAAAAATATATAGTGAATATTAAGGGCTTCTTCACGACTTGAGCAGCTTACTTTTAGGGTGCGTTTCTTTAAAAAAATCCAAATCCGGATTCTTGAATCCAAAAACGGATTTTGCGTTTCTTTAATAAAATCCGAAAATGGATTTTGAATCTATAGAATCCACACTCCGAGTGGATTCATTAGATCAAATCTAAATCCGGATTTTTAGGATTCATGATCCGTGCGTTTCTTTATTGCACGGATACAAAAAGCAGTACGTTTGGCAAGCGGTCGTCTTCTTAAAATCCGCCACATTCCCGCCATTTTGTTGTAAATATTAGCTGCTGCCGGCCATGGCGAATAAACAAGGTGAGTTTTTTGTGTAGTTTCACCGAAATTTTCCGTCCTGTACGTATTTTTATAAATTTTCCGGATGTTTGATGCGTCTTGGCATCTTTTATTTCTATCTACAGGACAATATTGGACGCACAGTTTATCTGCAGGTGAATATCCAGAATATCAGTGGAACGAAAGCCACGTTCAACCGGGCATTCAACCTTATCTTCCTCAGTTCATGTTTCCACCACCGCAGGCATCACAGTTCAGCCATGAAACAGTCAGATCAGTATCACCTCAGCCTGGTCCAAGTTTTTCTTCTTTGGAAACAGCTGCAGCCACGTTCAGTCAGTCGCGTGAAGGCACCGAAGGCGAATCGAGAGCTCTTGTACGCTGGTCTAGAGCTGATGTGCTGTTGTTAATTTCCTGCTATGTCGAACGCAGAGAACGATTTAAAGATATAAACAAAAAGAACAAGTCCCTGTGGGAAGAAATCAGCGAAGAATTAAAGAAGAACGGAGTGTTCTTTAATGCCAAGGCGTGTGAGACGAAATTGAAAAATCTGAAGAGAAGTTATGTTGCTTGTGTTGGTCACAACAAAGTCAGCGGAAATGACCGAAAGAAATGCAACTTCTATGACGAACTTCACGAAATATTTTCGAAAGATGATGCCATCGCTCCAAAAACATTGTGCAGCAACATTGATGGTAAACGGAGCAAAGATGCAGTCAAGAGTGTTAAAAATTCCAGTTCCACATTGAGTTCCACAGGTAGTGACACAGAGGAGCCTGTGGTTACAAAAGCAAAGAAAAAGAAGTTACCAGAGCGGAAGAAAAGAGAAGACCTCGTTGGGCTCTCTTTTAAGGAATTTACACAAGACAGGAAAGAGGAAGAAAAGGAAAAGATTAAAAAGTTTGAAAATATGCACAATGAACGCATGGCACTCATCGGCCGATTTTTGAATGTTTTTGAAAAATCATTGAACAAAGAGTAACCTTGATTCCATAATTTTTTATTGTGTTGCAGAACATGGGATTATTTGACCACAAACATGAACATAGATACAGTAAACCTGAGTTTGTTGTCAGTATTGAGTTATCTAAAAGTTTATTATATCATACATGTTAACAGTATTATTGCAAGTTGTATGTTTTTTTTTTTATCACATACATACAAGGAACTACAACAGCAACATTAGGTGAGAGGGCCTAACTAAACTGGTTTTGATATTATTTATATCCTTTACTTTTTTTTAGCCTGATTCTCAGATGCTTCAGATCACTTGTGTCACGCACTTCCTCCTTTCTGTGCGTGACACAAGCAACCTGGACTGTCAGAGTATTAGGCTGTTACATTTGTGTTGAAAGTTTACATTTCAAGCAACACCATAAATGTTTCAGGTAGTATAAAGTGATCCATGTACATGGCTCTACTATTTTCTTATATACTTTTAAAAACAAATAAAATATTGATATTTATAGCAAAAAGACTATTATACAGTATAAACTTTATGAATGACATACACCACCTATGAAAGAAGTGTTCATGAAAACACCACAGTACAAAAGGTATCAATACATAAACCACTTATAAATGCTAGGTTTATGGGATCAGTCTCATTATCATGTTTCTCTTATCAACTGCTCCTACACCTGGTGGAAAGATGTCATCATCATTGTCATCATTGTCGTCATCATCATTAGAGTCATCTAAAAATCATCGATGTCATCTTCTTCAAAATGCAAATGTTGTGTAAGATGCAAGAGGATACAATAATTTCCGGTATGTCCTCAATTTTGTCAACATCCATCATTGTTTTTAGCTTCCTAAACCTGTTCTTAAAAAGCCCTATGGACCTCTCAACCACCATTCTGGTGGAACTGTGGGCAGTATCGTAACGTCTTTGTTGAGCAGTCAAACGTCCGTTGTCTCGAAATGGGGTCAACAGCCACCTCTTCAAGGGATATGCTGCGTCTCCCAAAATGTGGGAGTTGCCAGGAAAATAATTGTCTGGGTTCACTTCAACTTCTCGGCAGATCGGAGAATTACGAAACACGCGAGCATCGTGTACTGAACCAGGGTAACCACAGAAAACATCGGTTATGAATAAATCCGGGTCACAAATGACTTGTAGTTGGACGGAAAAGAAACCTTTGCGATTTATGTATTGTTCATGATTGTTATGTGGTGCTTTGATTGGTATGTGGGTGCCATCAATAGCCCCCAAAACACCCGGAAAACCCTTTTTTTCTCTTCAAAGGCCTCCATCACCGCTTGGGCTTTTAGACCAGTTGGAAACTTGATAAACTCATCCATTAAGTTCCTCACTATTGCTTTGCAAACTCGTCTGTAGACTCTGTACGCAGTTGCCCTGCAAACATCAAATCGATCGGCAACAGAGCGTAAACATTCTGGATTCCCAAGAATCCACAGCGTAATAAGGATTTGCTTTCTTAACTCGACCGGTGGTCTTCCTCTATCGCCGGTGTATTGAGGTAAGTCGCCGTGGACCGAAAGCAAATGTTCGAGAACTGTAACTGTATGCCGTGACATGCGGAAGTGACTTCGGAAGTCCTCCGGTATGTAACTAGGTACGGTTATTTCGTAAAAATTCTTTGTGCGAACGTGTTCTTTTCGGACGAGCTGTCCGGCCGCCAAAAGGAATAAAACTGCTTCGTCATCGGCTCCTAAAAGAACCTGTTGTTGTTCAAGGTCATCGGCAAGGACTTCTTCGAACAGTTCAAACATCAAACCAAAACTTTCCGCCATTTTGAAAACTCCCCCCAAAACACGCGAACCGCATGCTGGGGTCGTTACGGCTAATTGAAAAAAAAATCCATTTTCGGATTTTTCGTGTCTTTAAAAATAACGAATCCGCATGATCTCGGATTAAGAATCCAATCTTGGATTTTTTTAAAGAAACGCACCCTTAGTGATTGATCTTTTGTGATTGACATTTTGCAGTGACTTTTCATCAAATACAATGACCGTATATGCCTACTTTGGAACAATGGCGGAAATAACTACAAAACATACGCGGGGTTTTTCAAACTTTCCGATTATCATACGTACGGCAGATTTAAACAATCGGCAAAACTGACGATAAGACAAATCCTTCCTGTGGGAGTGATTCCTGTAGATTTTTTAGGATGCAAATATTTACGGTGGGGTGGATGGTGGGGCGACTGTAGCTTTCGTGTCTGAAGTAAAGATATGTCATTGTTTTTTCCTCTATATTGCTTGAAACTGGCGAAAGATATATTCAATTAGAGGTTCACTGCCGCATACGCTCGTCAATTTCTCCTATTTGACTCGACTTTTCAATCCGAGTATATTTAAATTTGGCGCTTCGTAAGCACGAAAAACTGAATAATCTCCTCCCACAATTTTTTTGTGTTTACACAAGTCGACGTCTAATAGATACCTATTCATCCTTTTGTGTAAAAGCAGGAAGTGAGATATTCTTCGCATAGTCATGTTCTCTTAGTTTTTTTTTTTGCTCAACAGGTTACGTGTATTCAATCACGTCACTGACGCTGTCAAATTCATCTACCAAATTATTGGGCAATCAAATTTCGCGCTACGAAAGTTATCCTATTTTCTTAGTATGCATAAAGTACTGCGCAATCGCCTCCCATAATTTGCTTTCGCGTTATATTGAAAACAAACATAGTCATAACGTCCGCTTTCTGCAAAGGAAATATTTGGGAAAACTGTTGATAGCTTAATAAGTTTAATAAAGGCTGTTAGAATCCGTCGTAAAACTATGTTAGTTCAGGCAAGACCTTTTTTTTTCTCCGAAAGAGAATATAAAACAAAACAAAACAAATTTCGCAACTTCTCCGTCGTGAGACTTGTGAGTGAAAACATCACACCCTCGTCTTGCAACGCGTTTAATTGATATCGAGAATAACTCAAGATAGATGTTCCCCCAAAAACTAGAGATAATTTCCTCGGTCAGCACATCTTGTGTCATCAACATCGTTGCAATAATTCTGTACTTTTGTAAAAAAGGAATCCTCTTCCTAGGTAGACATGTTGGTTCTAGAAAGTGAGCGCCTCATTAGAAAACAGCTGTACGCCAGCGCCTGCTCTCTGCGAAAATTTGGAGAAGCTGTTGATAACTCCTTACTTTTAACAAAGATTGTTAGAGTCCACTGTAAAACTCTGATAGTTTTGGTGAGACACTTACTTTTAAGCAATACCTGCTTTTTTTTCAAAAGATAAATGAAAAAACTCGCACCTTCTTCATTGTAAGACTTGTGAGTGAAAAATATCACACCCTCATCTTGCCACGCGTTTGATTGAAAACGAAAATAACTCAAATACATGCTCTTGCAAAAACTAGAAATCATTGCTTTTATCAGTATATCTTGTATCATCAACATAGTTACACGAATTCGGCGCTTTTGCAAATAAGGATCCTTGTGTCAGGTAAACATGTTGGTTCTAAAAATAAGCGCCTCGTTTGAAAACAGCTGTGCGTCAGAAACAAGGTCTTTCATCGCCTCGAGGCTCTCCACAGAAAACCGTCACATTTCGATTGCATTTAACACCAGTAGTAACACCAAAAAATATATTTCTGCGTTGACTTTTTACCAGGCGACTTGACTTACACATAGAGAGAGGTGGTTTAAATGAGTCACTGCAATACGGATAACTTTAATTTGGCTGTCTTGGAGGTATTCTTGCAAATGAGGGGTTCTTGGAAAATATAGCTTTTTTTCTATATTTTTGAAAAGAGAGTTAGCCTTCCGATTTAATATTACTTTTTGAGAATAGCATTTTTACGCTAAGCCCATATAAAGAATAAGAAGATGTACAGAAGTATAAGTTACCTATCAACATCAGTACTTACTGCATTGTTCGTCTGATCCATCACTACAGTGAGCGAACCCATCGCAGCGTTGAGACACGTAGATACACTTTTCTTGATTTGCACAAGCAATCTGATTGTTTCGACAAGTCACTAGCAGATTATTAAAAGAAACACATGAACCGTGACAAAACGTCGACACTTCTTGTACATTTCTTACCAAAAATATATAATGAATATTATAGCTTGAGCAGCTTACTTTTAGTGATTTATCTTTTGTGATTTTTCAGTTTATCGTTATGATTTTATCGAATTCTGTCTTTAATAACCTTTTCGTCGAAAAGCGGATCAGCTTAGATTACAGCAGGCTTTGTTAAACGATTAACAATGACCGTAAATGGCTACTTTGGAGCAATGGCGGAAACAACTTCAAAATACACGCGGGATTTTTCAAAATTTCCGATTGTCATACGTACGGCAGATTTAAACCATCGGCAAAACTGACAATAAGACAAATCCTCCCCGTAGGGGTGATTCTGGTAGATTTTTTAGGATGCAAATATTCACGGAGGGGTGGATGATGGGGCGACTGTAGCTTTCGTGTCTGAAGTAAAGAGATGTCACTGTTTTTTCCTTTATATTGCTTGAAACTGGCGAAAGATATACGCTCGTCAATTTCTCCCATTTGACTCGACTGTTCAATCGGAGTACATTTAAATTTCCCGCTTCGTAAGCACGAAAAACTAAATATTCTCCTCCCACAATTTTTTTGTGTTTACACAAGCCAACATCTAATAGATACCTATTCATCCTTTTGTGTGATAACAGGAGGTGAGATTTTTTTCGCATAGTCATGTTCTCCTAGTTTTTTTTTTTTTTGCTCAACAAGTTACGTGTATTCAATAACGCCACTGACGCTGTCAAATTCATCTACCAAATTATTGGGCAATCAAATTTCGCGCTACGAAAGTTATCTTATTTTCTTAGTATGCACAAAGAGCTGCTCAATTGTCTCCCATAATTTGCTTTCGCGCTATATTGAAAACGAATATAAAGTCATAACGTCCGCTTTCTGCAAAGGGAATATTTGGGAAAACTGTTGATAGCTTTGTAATTTTAATAAAGACTGTTAGAATCCGTCGTAAAACTATATTAGTTCAAGCAAGAAAAAATAGCAACAACAAAGAACTAAATAAACAATAAAAATGAAATGGAAACTCAAGAAGAACACACTACATTGTCAGTAGTAACAACAATAAGAACAAGCCTAATTTCGCCTACTCGGTCCAAATTACGGTTATAGTTATTAAGAGGCGATCTCTGTAAGAGCGGTCCAGGGCATTTCGCATCGGAAAAAAGTTTTCCCTCAAACTTTGCCCAATAAACTATTTTTGGTAAGAAGTGAATAAAACCACATTTGTTTCTGGAAATACGTCAAAATAAAATTCTCTTGTGTAAGTTGCTGAAAGTGGCAATCTTGATGTTGTGATAGCAACCTGCTTCATCCGATCTTAGAAAGACCTTTTTTATTCCTGAATTTCGTAACTTTATGGTGACAAAGAGATTTTCTAGGGCTGACAGCACTGAAAACCAATCTTTTTTACAGCTGTTAAGAAGGTGTACGTATCAGGTTACTTCCAGGCTTTCCTCCTGTCTTACAACAACGCTACTCACATGCCAATTGATTTCCCTCTTGGGAAACCATTCTGCTTGCTTTTCCCGGAACTTCATCGCTATGAACTTCATTGTCCAGTCAACTATTATAAATGCTTCATCTCCCTCCAAAGTATCGACAATTTTCCGCTGGCACTGATCCTGGTTTCTGCTTTCAGGATATGCCCTCTCCATTCAAAGATCTTAGCGGCAGCACTTTTTGCTTCATACAAATAGTCTTCCGCTTGAAACCTACCCAACTGCATTGTGTACTCAGAAATAACGCCATTTACTTCTTCAAGAACACTCTTCAGCTTCTCACAATCCTCACACTTCACGTTGTGACTGTGACTGCATACTTTCTGGACGTCAGTGTTACCAGCATAGCTCAGTGCAAAGACCCTACAGTGATCGGCACATTTGCTATCGTCCTCTTCGCAGTGATTAAGGTATGTAGTCTTCAAATACAACTTACTCTCCTGAAGCCTCTTCCGAACTTCTTTACACTAGTCCTTTTCTGCTACCACGCTTTCCAATTCGTCTATAATTTGGAGAAAATCCTCGATACCATCCGCTCCCTCAGCTGCAGTATCGTCTAAACCTCTATAGAACGCCATACATCTTCGAAATGGCCTTTGAAATTTGCAAATTGACAGAATACTGGCTCTTTACCCCTTTGGAATCGCTACCAGGGTGTGTCGGAAACTGGCACGCTGAACTTTGGGACCAGAACGTCCCATAAGTGTGCCTATGCTTTGCGCAGACCCACTTTTTGCCATAACTGAGTCTTCTATATCGAACAGGCCAGCCCTTGCAAAGATAAGCTCTCCTTCTGTGAAACTCTCTTTTGACAAATGAATTAAGCAGAGATGACTCTTTATTGAGTCAGTACTCTGTGGCAAGTTAAACAAACCGGAAACTCCTCGTGAGTCTCCGAACGAAGTTTCTGAGGAACGCGACCGAAAACAGAACTTCTTGTAGCGAATACCGCTTCAAGAATTTAGCGTTATTAATCCCAAGCAAACCAGTACCGAAAGAGACATAAGAATTACAGCTAATAAAATTACGCGCTTTACAATATAGATATAGCTAATTGTTAGAAAAATTAGGTGACACGTAACGTAATAATTTATTTCCTCAAAAATCGCGGGGTCCTTTTCCACAAGGACTCCCTAGAGTTCTGAATAGAAACTTTCATAAAGACAGGTGTGCAGACAAAATTTTTCCTATTCCTGCCGACCAGAATTCTGATCCAAAAGGCGATGTTATCGCTGCTTTAATACGAAGGGAGAAGCAATTC